GAAAGGCTCAAATATGAAACAGTTGTCTACAAGAAAGTCAAACAAAAATCATCAGAAAATCCTACTCAAAAACCCAAAAGACTCAAATGAAATGCCAAATCAAACCCAAACTAAAAACAAATACATCTCAACCTCGCAAACCCAACAAGCTGATCCTGTTTAAACCCAACTGGGAAATCAGCTCAATGAGAACCAGCTGGGCAGCTGCACCTGAAGCATCTGCTGGCTGAGGGACGACGATCAAAACATGAAAACAAAAGAGATCCCTTCGCTGGTGCCAGCTTAAGCTGCTAGTTTTTTTTGTTTTTTTTACCTCTGCTGAGAAATGAAGACAAAAACATTCAGAACAACCGAGGAACATTCTGGGAAATCTGAAGATGGTCCATTTTTGATCCCTCCCTCAGCAGACTGTCCGGGGATCCCAGAGGACTGGGTTGAGTAAGTGTCAGGGAACAAACAACAAGAGATTCAATAACATACGCTGATGTAAAGTGACATCCCATCCAGACTGTGCCCAATGGCCGGATTAAAAGTATTAAGTGCCTCTGGGCAACAACACATAACGGCTCATGAAATTCAGAAATGTATCTAACATAAGAGGAACAATATTTCAATATATTAATTAATATTAAATGTATTAGATAATGATGATGAATGGGTGGATGTCTCTCTGATCTCACAGCATATCAAAATGACCTTTCCCCACTGCAGACCATTCAAAAGAACAAAATTCAGCCATTCAGTCTTCTGCTGACAATAGAAGTGAAAAAAAAAGTGAAAAAGAGGCTGAATTTAATAAAGCAGAGAGTGAGTTTTTTTAAGAAACCTTCCCCTTATTATCCACAGCAGAGATTAAGGGCCTCGTCGACAGCCGCTGATGCCTGCGTGACAAGCCATGACATACCAACTGTTTCAGCCAGTGGAAAGAAGGCAGAATATCCGCTATATTTTATGGCCCAGAGACATCAGCCTCGCCTGACAGGAAAGAGGCTCCTCTCTCCTGCATCCCTGCACACCTGCTTTTAGTGTATCTGTCTCTATTTTAGCTGTTATTCACCTTACAGTAAAAGGTTTTGAGGCAATGAAGTAATACATATCAAATATTGCAGCAACCAAGAGAAGTGTTCAACATCTCAAAATTTGCTCAAACTTTAGACTCTTCAGAAGAGCCCCCTTTTGCTTCGATGGCAACATTGCAGACTCCTGGCATTCATTCCTCCAGCTTCCCGATGTGGCCACCTGGAATGCTTCTCCGACAGTCCTGAAGGAGTTTCTACAGGTTCTCGGTGCCCATTGACTACCTGCTCTTACACTTCAATCCAACTCATCCCAAACCAGCTCGGCAGGGTTTAGGTTGGGGGGTTGTGGGGGCCAGGTCATCTGTCACAGCCCTCCATCTCATTCCTCATCCACAAGATAATAACTTGAGTGCATAGCCTCAGGGTGTGCTTAGGGTCCTCAACTTAATGAAAGACGAATGATTTTCAGTAGGTCTGTCCAGAATTTTGCCTGTTACTATTTGTACTGTATATATGGGCGTATAGCTATAAATTCTGGAGGCCCTGGCGAAAGGTCACTTTGGGTCCCCACTTGGCACATACAGGTACCACAGTAGATAGAATTTGACGACCGGGGTGTCCGCCTCAGTAGAATTTGCTGAGCAGCCCCCTGACGCTAGATTTTTAGGGCCGCTCTACAGTGCTGGGACCCCTGCCACGGTATCCATGCCCTTCTTGTGTAAATTTTAATTTACATTTATAGGCATTTGTGTGCCAGATTTTGAGGCGGCACAGAGCAGCAGAATAAAAAGCAGACATTAAAGGTGCCAAAGGCACTTTTAACAAAGATAAATAAATGCCGATATTCAAACACGCAGAAATCTTCCCTATAAACATCCAACAACCTCTGAATGACCCTATTTTTTCAAGGACCTAACAAGGTCATTCGCGCAGTCAGTGTGCGGCTGGGGTTGTATGCACAGCGCCTGCTCATTTCTTGGCTTGGCTACACACGGTCACCCAAATCCATTCCTGTACTCAGGGCACTGGTAATTGGGGGCACCCCCCCCCCCACACCCCTTCCCAAAAACTAAATAATGAATTGAGTGTGTTGCCTGTCTTTTACCATGAATGCGCATATTACCGCCAATTTGATGTGCCTACAGAGTGCAAGACTGTAAGGAAGACTGTAGTCCTGTATCAGACAAACTCATTTTACCATACGTTAAGTAATGTTTAGTAGTAAAACTGCACCCTAAACAGTACTAGTCTTATTTTAAATGATGAAATCTTTATTGTTTTAAAATACATTTAAAATCTTTCTTACATTGCTTTTCTTATATATACATCCACTCCTCCCCATAGGGAAAATTCAGTCCCCCCCCAATGCCCAGCCCCACCTGACGCTGTGCCAAATAGGAGTATGACTCTCTCGCTGTAGGAATCACCATCACGTTCCCCTGCAGCTTTAAAACCGTTTCAGTTCCAGTTCCATAAAATACTATTAGGCTTCCAGTCATACTCTTCATTTTCAAGCACCTAAACCTCTCCAAGTTATAAAGCAGGAACTTTCAGGTTACATGTCTGTCTTTAAACACCACACTACTTCTTAATAGTACAGTTACCCACAATACAATTTATCTCCCGCCCACAGCAAAGGAGGAGACGGTTTTTAATTTGCCTTCAAAGATCTCCTTAGGACCCAGTCAACACAGCATATGACTTTCTTAAATGTACAAAATGTGTAAATGCATGTTGTGGTATGTAGTTGTGCAAGACGACGATGAGAGATTGTGGGTGGGATTTATTTGTTATGTCATGCACCGTGTGATTACCCAGGGCGTCCCAGTAAATGAACCACTGGGAAGTACAAGGAGAAAACAAAGCAGAAACTAGCTTCCTAATTAAAATTAAGCCTCCTAATTAAACACAGCAGGACCTTGTCAGAAAACAATGTTCCTGCCATAAGGCTGAATAATCGCAAAGCCCCCCTACTGGAAAGTTTTTGGCATAACAGGCTCTCCAATTTGCGTCACACCTTTTGCATATGTTTGCATGGCTCCTGGCATTTTATGCTGTAGGTCAAAGAGCAAACTGATGTATAGAACATCCTTGAAACCCCTTTCAGGAGTCTCTGCTTGCAGCTCAATCCAAACCCTTCATTTAATTCATTTATCACTGTAACAGGAAAGTCAAATACCACATCTAGTCGAAGAGAGCAGATACTGCAAGCTTTCTTTGGCTAATCCCCCGGTCCAGTTAAACCCTTCACACGTACCCGATGGCCGCTAATGCAAACCGGGCACTCAAGGTCTTCACTCGGGACTTTTCCTGTATATCGCCGAGCAGGACATACCTATCGAACTGACCGGCCTAAAGACAAAAAAACGGCTCTGTACGTAGCAGAAGGCGGCTGTTTCACAATGGAAAACTGTTCGCCTATTGGAGTTATAAACGTTAATGTTTTATGGAACAAATACGGGCCAGATGAGAGCTCATGGGAACGTTTCCGAGATGAGGAACTGCTGCTTTATAGTAAGGACGTAAAGTGAAATACATCACTTTTGGGGGAATGTGATAAGTACTGTAGCCTAATTGAAATTCTTCTATCTGCCTGTTATGGCTATTTAAGACCCAGTAACATTGTAAACTCCACCATCATCACCCAGACAGACTGGATATTCTGATGTGACAAGAGAGCGCCCAAGTCAAAGCCCGATAAAGTGTTTCCAGAAAACACAACAACGCCGCATTTTTGTTCATTTCATTTGTGCGAACAATTTTGTTGTTTCGTTTTCCCCTGCAGCTCGCCAAGAACGGCTTTCAATAGGGGTGAGACCATTAAAACAGAAACGACCAGTTTTATTTACCATTAAAATAACATCATATTATTTAAAATTAACATGCATAAAAGATGATAAACAAATCATTGTTATGCATTTAAATTAGGCCCACTGCTCGATCTCACAAAACATTTGGCAAAAACAACAATTTCTGTGAGAATAATAGTTCACCCCAACATAGATAAATTTGCCCCCCAGCTCTGTGCGTGTTTTTCAGTTTGCCGTTTTCACTTGGTTCTAAAGCATGGAGTTCAAACACATACAGGTGACTGTATAAATCAAACGCACAATCATCATATAGGCCTAGATGAAGAAAGCCTCCCTTTGTCATACATTTCGATAGATTGCTGCACAAAACGCTCACGCATTAACGTGCAATCGATTACTATGGAAGTGAAATGCCACATTTTGAATAATGTCCACCTAGCAAACATTTTAATGTGGATTTAAGCGTACGGCCACCTTGGCAGATCGCAGCTCTCATTGCTGGCCGGGGGTCAGTTAAACACAGTGTAACTAGCAGAGGTAAGTAAGTAAATACGTAAATGTTGTCAGTACATTTATTGGCCGTCTACATCGGTATTGGAACTTAGCACTTCATTTATTAATATGTAACTGATTTATCAAAATGGATCAGGGAACCACCAATGTCAGCGATTTGTTCCTCAGAGCTGCAGTCGTAGCTTTTCACGTGAAATAAATTTTAAAATGCTGTTTTTATTCATTTTCGCTGGTTTATGAAGTGACCTGTATGGTGAAATTGACATATTTTTACATTCTTCAAATTGGCAGCCTTATTTATGGCGTTTTCCGCCTGTTAGCCTGCGGCAAGCTGGTTAAGCAGAGAACTAGACAATGGCACCCCCTGCTGGTAAAACAATATATAATTAGTGTAATATATGCAAAAGTTTTTCTGCTAATATACTATGTTTAAGGGAGCATCTTGGTAAGCTGGACAGGGCCTTTGCTCTGAAGGTCTGGTAGATGTTCTAGTAATCTCCTGGGGCAGGCCCATTGCACTAACAACGGTCTTCCTTACTGTGACAATAGTCTTCATGTGAATAATACAACATATTTTCCCAAATTACGTTTAAATATCATTAACATATTATGTTAAAACTGCCGATAGCATCAAAATCCATAGGGCAAGGCAACTCAATTGGAAGTGACACAATTGCATTTATTTCTGAAAATAATTTACATCAGGTGTGGACAATGTTCTTCTATAAGAAGTAAAAGCTTACAGCCAGATATGCTGAGTGCATCCGTCCATGAACCCAATAACTCCTTTTAAAAATCCCCTTTAAACAGTATGGGGTGTTTGATAAATACTGAGGTAGTCCTGTAATTGCCTGTCGGTGATTTAGCTTAAATGTCTCAGGCCACGTTCTTCCAAAACAACCCTCCCTTATATTTCAGTACTTTTTTGCCACAGGAAAACTCTAGAAGATTAACATGTCCTAAAGTGTTGATTTACAAGAAACTCAGGCTAAATTTAAATTACACACAGTAACAGAATTAGGTTAAAAGAATCTGCTTTGTCTATGCATTTTGTATGATGTGAAAAGCTATGTTACATTAACCTGAACACCTAGATGCACCAGTATTTCCCGGTAAATGTTAAATACACCTGTAACTCAGACACTGTACGGTATAGTACTAATAAAATAATAGCACCAGTCCATATTTCTATCAACTGTATATGAATCAACCTCTCCACTTGCCCAGTCCTCTGTCCTCAGACTGGCACGCCTGAGTATCTGACACATACACCTATGTTCAGATTTCTGGAGAATAAACACTGAAAATCGAGAGGCGCTAAATATGCCCAGAGGAACACATCCGAAAGTCACTTTGTCCCCAGATGATTGTCAATCACTCTGCACCATGGAGAGCCACAGTTCTGCTTCGTCAGAAAAAAGAGACTTTAAAAAGAACTTGGTGTTTCAAAAACCGCAGCGCCACCAACAGGTCAACTCTTGACATTACAACTACAAAAATCAAAACATTTCCTGATATATTTCTCATTCAAAGAGCTATTCCACATACGAGTGGAAACCTAGCTTGAACATTCAATGGAACAAACGGGTGTTTATTAAAACACCGGCACGTTTGCATAAGTGCGTACCCATATTCTTATTATGAAACAGGCAAGTGCTGCACTGGGACCATTTTTAAAACCAGTCTGGATTTGCTGCATTGGTTTCTCACTGTGGATGCCACTGGCATGTTGACTTCACATCATGACAGGGATGGCAATAACATAAAATTAATCACGTTAATACAAAACTTTTCGGAATATACAGTTAGAATGTAATACGTTCAGTACTCTAGGCAGTACTGAAGTTTTCCCTGCATGTTAAACATCAATTAGCTTCTGAAGTAGTTCTGTAAAATACTTATTAAACATCTCACTGTGTTACCATTTCATTACAATAAGCTACCAGTTCTGTGAAGTAGGTAATTCAGGCTAACAACGCAGTTGATGTCGGCCTCACAAGGTAGTAACGAGAGAAAAGAGGGTTTGTAAACCACATGGGTTGGGAATATTGTGCGTGGACAGTCACAAAGCTGAGCTAACCCACTTTCCATTGGGATAATCCAGGCAGCGAGTGACAGCGTCAAACATCCACTCTCCGTCTGGAAATCCGCGCTAGAATTTATGTTGTCTGTTAGTGATTGTATTGAATCGATCTGAGACCAATAAAACCAATATACCCGTATGAAGATATCCATCAGCGCGATGCAAGCTGGATTTACATGAGTCACGGACGTCTCCTTTAAAATAAAAGTCCCTGCAACAAGTTGAGTCGATGGTCTGCTAATCAAACATTATTGTTCTGTAAGAATCTGATTCGCAAAAAAGCCCAATAAGACAATTCACCTGAGATTCAAAAGCATCTCCCCACTCGACATCTCCAGTTTCCCCATTACATAAATCTTAACCACAACATCAATAAAAAGCGTAACACGAACCAAACATGCATTCCTTTCACAGAAATACAACTTGTTTAACAGCACGAAAAATGCCATAAAACAGAATATAGTGTTCAAAGAAAATCTCAACGCATGCGAGATCAAAATGCCGGAACGTCGTGTGGTTTTGCCCCTGTGAAGCCGCTGTGTCTGCATTTGAGAGTTAAGGGTGTGTGCGTCGAAAAAAAACCTACACCTGGGTAAAAGTGCTGTCTCAGAGGTTAACCGGTTGTAGTCACAGTCCAACAGTGGCATTGGGGGCCGGATCGGTGGATCGGAGAGGCGTGCCGGCTTGTCTGGCTCGGCGAGCCTTGACACAGAACGACAGATGGCGGCCGAAGCGGTCCTTCGACCTGAACCGCTCCCCACAGACGTGGCACTTGTGGGGCGTCGCGTCCACGTGGACCTTCACATGCGCCAGCAGGTGGCGCTTCAGCCTGAACACCCTACCGCAGATGGCACAGGCGTAGGGCCTCAGCGCGGGGCGGGGCTCCTTGTGCTCCTGCAGGCTGTTGTGGGAGGAGCCTCTGTCACGTCTGGGCAACGCTGTGGTGGAGCTTGTGGTTTCCTTCTGGAGACCAGCGGGAGGCAGTAGGGGACCATCTCGCTGATCTCCAACCCCTGCAGTCACTCCCAGCTCCTGCCCTTGAGAATCTGGGTAGACTTCGGCAGTGTCGGTCGAGTTGGCATTCACTGAGGCCTTGAAGCAGTCCGGGGGTGATCTGTATGGGTGCCCCCCATTTAGTTTCCCCCCCAGTTCATCTTCCAGGTTCACCTCAGTGTTGTCATCAGCAGGATGGCTTGCACACAGCTCCATCTTCTCATTTCCAGCACCTTCACACAACCTGGCGTCCTGTAGACCCCCACCATTCTCTGCTTCCTGATGCTCCCCCCTCCTGGGCTGTGCATCCACAGCTCTGCCTTGCTGATTGTTCAGTGGGTTGCCAGCTTGGCTGATTATCCCTCTGCTCAGGCGCTCCTGTGCTGACGACAGAGAGCCCTCATCCCGGCCTCCAGCCTCCGGTACCTTTGGTGAGAAGCTACTGACCATTCCCCGCTCCACCTCTCCGTCCACGTACTCCACCACCCTGCCAAAGTCCTCTCGATCCAGATCCTCGATAGGGCTGTCATACCCGCTACCGCCACCCAGGAATGAGCGGCCGAGTGTCGGACTCAGGCAGAGCTTGGCCGGACCCCCACCTAGGAGTTCGGTGCACTTGCCCACCACGTGCCACATCTGCAGGAAGCTAGCAGCTGTTAGGAAGCCCACCACCTCGCCCGCGGGCAGCTGGAGGGCCCCCGTGTAGCAGGACTGCAGAAGGCTCTCGAACACGCGCGCCTGCATCACGTCCGGGAGCACCACCTGCTGGCTGTTCTTCAGCAGTACCTGATCACAGAAGTAAGATGAGCTGGCCGCTAACACAGCTCTGTGGGCCCGGTACTGCTGGCCCTGGAGCACCACAGTGATGTCACACAGCTGGCCTAACTGCCTTTGCTGGTTCAGCCTCTTCAGGACGTTGCTGGAAAAGTCTGGAAAGTCCACATGGAATGAGTTCGGTTCGGACGCCATAACAGTGATGCCTCGGTTGAAAAAGTGGGAAAATATCAGATTAATAGCGATATTTAAAGAAAGAAAAATGTTAAGCAGTAAAACAAAATTAATTCATTTAACTTTGCACCGAAATCTGTGATGTTGTAAGGTTTCCCCTTATACAAAAAGAAGAAAAAAAAACCTAAACGTGTTATGTTTTTTTTCTTCACGGACTTAATAACTGAAAGCTGGGCTGAAGAGAAACAACGGCGTCTAAATTCGAATTATTAAGGTAATCATTAAGCAAGACATTATTCCATTTCTGTACCGACATCATTTCATATAAAAAGTCTCATGTTCATCTGTAAGCATGAAGCAAAAAAAAAACTAGGATGAAGCACCCATGCATCCTGCGTCCATAAGGCACTTTGCTGAGCTTAGACGGGCATAAAGAGGAAAACGCAGAGACCTTTCGCAAGGTAATCCAGCAAGCTAACAACGAAACGGCTCATTTTAAAGCGACAGACCTACGCTGATAAATGCAAAGGTGCGAATGCAAAGCAATTCAAGCGAGTACGCGCATGTGCACACGCGAAGTTGGCATAAACGCTGTAAATAACGGAGGAATTGATCTCAAGCCGGTGTTCACCCTTTCCCCTCTTCTCGACATATTCAGCATCGTCCGCACCGTCGGCCGCTCCCTCCCGCGTAAGCTGTGACGTTTGCGCGCGTTCGTGAGGAGCGCGGCGCCGTTACAGAAAGTGTGCTCGCAATGTGACGCTTGGATACCGTTGTAGCCGCAGTGAGGTTTGTTTCTGGTGTGCCGCCGAACGTCATCACGCCGCACCAGTAAAATCACGGTAAAACGGTAAAATGATGGTAAAACCAGTAAGCGCTGAACAGAATGCAATTAGCGTTGTTGGAGATTTCCATGCGCGCACTGTCTCCAGTTTCTGGAGGAAGAAATTTATGCTAATGACACATGCTTTTAGTTTTCGTAGTTTAATCTAGCTACTAATTTTTCATTCTTAATTATATCACCGCACTGGAATCGAAGTCTCTCCCTGTCGTTATATATTTTATGAAATACATTCTACAGTACTTCAATTTTATTATTACGGTTAAACGCCAGGTGGCGCTAAAGACTAGACTTAGAGATCGGAAATCTTTTTGGCGTGACTGCGTCTTCTAGGTATCTGACAGGTATGGAAAAGCGGCCGCATATTCAAATTTCGTAAAACAAATCAGTTGCAGAAAATCGCGGGGATTCAGAGGACAGTATTTTCAACTTCTACATGCTGCGTCGACTAGTTTAAGCCGTTCTGGTATTTATACTACTATAACTGCTTGGGTTGCTTTTGGAAAGCAAGAGCAAATGCACCTACGTAACGGGCTTCGTATTATTTCGTCTGAGTTTTAGTCAGTGCTCCTTATTCAAACATTTATAACTATTATAGTGTTTTATAGAGTTAATACTTCGACAAAGATAGCTATCAGAAAATTAAGTACAATTAAATTCTTTTACAGATCATATAGTGAAATAAATTATTTCATTCTAATTCTGTAATCTATACTTACGCAGTACTCCACCAGAGCCTTTTGTTTTTGTAAAGGTTTGTTGATCGATAGGACAGTGAATGTACCCTTTAGTGCATTTGGAAAGAAGAAGCTCTCCTCAGTAACCCTTAGTTCTGATTTAATGAAATTAACAATAATATTGTATACTGAATTGTTTCTGTGTATCATTCTGTACATGCAGAAGTGTGCCACAAGTTGAGTGTGGCAGGTTTCATTTGGAATATATATATATATATATATATATATATATATATATATGACATGATTTGTATTTCAATGGGGGTATTTAAATTCTTAATCTGTCATTTAAAGTCTTCCATGGCTCCTCTTCCTAGCTGAATGTCTCTGTACAGCAGTCAGCCTCCCTGGTGCTGTGCAGTCTTGGAGGGCAGAATCTGCTCCGTGGCCCACAGGTTATAAGCGGGAGGAGAATGAGAGTCCCTTTGTCACTGCTCGTGTTTCTAACAGCCTTCCGTGTTAAACAAGTTGCTCCCCTATCCCCAGCAGTAATCAGAAGTGATACACCTGCACACACACATGCACACGTGCACACACACACACACACATGCACAACAGAAGCCAAAGCAGGGTGATTAGAAATGGTTTTCTTGGCCCCAGGGCTGCGATCGTGGTATTGATAAAATTTCAGACGGACCCTTAATCAAAGGGCTTCCTGTTGATGCTGTAATCTTCCCTGAAGTAGGGCTTTGTTCTGGGCTGCTCTGCCCACTTGACCGGGCATTCTTTCCAGGTGAGTCGTCAGCAAGGCAGGTGCGGGGATGGGGGGGGGGGCGGGGTGTAGGGGGGGGTTTAGGAGCTGCAGTCCGGGAGCTGATCACAGCCAGCACATCTCTATGGGGGGGATCCTGCCCCTGCCTATATCCAAGGTGACTTGGCAGATTCTCCTAGCCCCCCTGCCCAAATCCGCGCACCTTTCCAAAAGCAGGTGCGGACCCCTGCGGTAGAAAGAGCCCCGGAGCCACAATCGCAGGTCTCTGCTGCCCCGAGTGCAAAAGTCGCCGAAGAGAGAAGATTGAGGAACTAGAAAACTGCTAAACATGGAAATTAATGTACAAGCATTGACTGTGTCACAGATTTATTAAGCTGTAAATTGAATGTAAATTTCGGAATCGTCCCTTTTATATGTTTTTATGCGGATTACCCTGGGTTTCCCTTCAGTGTAGGTCTGCGAAATGAGATTGATGTATCTGTGGCCGTAGGGTAGCAGTGTGTGCGGCAGCGGCAGCTGGGGCTCGGAGCGCGGCCCCGTACCAGCGCTTGGCATGTCATCGCCGTGTCTGTTTGGGTTTCCACTGACAATCCAAAGGAACGAATTATTTACACTGGCATTTTACATTCAGCTGCAACTTTTATCCAAAGAAGAATTTTTTAATCCATTTATATAGCTTCATGTTTCCTGGGGCATTTCAGATGGAGCGATTTACTCAGGGGTGTCTGCTGGATAAACACTGTGTTACCTGTTACAGGGAGAATTTATCCATAAATTAGCGTGTGTCTGTGCGATTGCCCTGTGGTGGGCTTCCGTTCCTCATAAGACTTACGCTTATGTTCTGTGTTTCCCGGGACAGAGTCCAAATCACCATTACTAGCTAAGCAGCTATTGATAATGAATGAATGGATATTTAATGAGAATCAGCTTTCAGTGGCCAGATGGAGACAAATAAAAGCTACTTAATACCTGGAATGAAAACCAATTTTTTTTAACATCTGTTGAGATGTTAAGAACTAGATTTTGCTAATGTGTTTTGGCTAAACATGACAGTAATTGGATAATCATAAAGGGATTAATTTAAAATCCAAAAAATAGAAAACAACAGCAGAATTTCTTGCAGGAAACCCTACCTGAAGACTGACTGCAGCAAGTGACCCCAGAGAGGAGCAAAGTGACAGACAGCCCTAATAGAACGTTTGTCTTTTTTTTTCCCATAGATACTGGACAAAAGCACTTCCTAAACTGTGACTGTCATGAATACTGATTGGACCAATTATTTCACAAATCTGTTCAAAAGCAACGCTAAGTGCCTTCCTGTGTGGCAAAAGAAAATGTGAAACGGACTCAAGTAAAAATTAAAACAATGAGTGTGGTATAATCACAGCCTACGATATCCGTCTCTGAAAAGGACAGATTCATTCAGCAGTGGACTCTGCTCACTTCGTAAGGCTTATAAAATATACATGGGCTTTTATGAAATTCCTCAGCTGTCAGAAAGCGCTCAAATTATATTGCTTTTGCTCCCCAGAAGACTAGGCTGCTGTCTGGATGATTCCATTACATGTGCTGCAGAAATAAATTGAATGTAGTTATATATACAGTATACTGCATCGATCCGGAGATTGGAGGGGGTACAGCGGTGGGGGTTTGAGTAGAGCGATGAGTTTGTCCAAGTCAGTTTTTTTCACCCCCTTCTCCACACGTGAGAACAAACACACAATTCAGCAAGTTCAACAGAAGACCCTTGGGAATCTTCAGTGTGGCATATAGTACCCATAATGGGTTCTGATCTCTCTCTCTCACACACACACACACACACACACACATATAAACTGTGTTGTCCACTGCAGTGAGGCCACGGAACACAGTGTACAGTCTGAAGCAGGAAACAGAAATGACAGTGTATTCAGCTGTAATACAGCTCTGTAAACACATGAGAGACCACACCATATTTTTTAAAATTCTTGATTTTTGAATCCTTGTTTAATGCTGCTTCTGCTACCAACAAGCTACACTGAGCAACAGGTTGCTTCCAGGGTGAAAATTTCTATGACAGCAGTACGTGAGAACAAGGTGAAGCAGGAGACACTGGGAACAACGAAAATCCTACCAGGCAGAGGATGGAAGTGACTTTCTAAAGCCAGAGATGACCGTCAACTTATCCGACAATGCCTCATGGATCGGAGGATGACCTCAAGTGACGTTCAAAAAGAATGGGAAACATTAAGTGGTGTGAAGTGCATTGTTAGGACAATTAGCGCTGTTAGGCTCCTAGAAGCAGCACTGAAGACCCATAAAGCAAGGAAGAAGCCCTTCGTCAATGAGAAGCAGGGAAGAGCCAGGCTAGAGTTTGCAAGAAAAAAAATGTATATCTTACACAGGCGCATACATGTAAATTGAGAAATGAGTGAAACTGAAAATTTTGCTGTGGTCTCTTAATTTTTTCCAGAGCTGTATGTGTAAAAAAATAGAAGGGCTCTCTTTGTCTAAAGAGGAGCAGGATAAGTTTTAGGATTCACCTAATCCTCATACCCTATTCACATGCCCAAGGTCATATGCAAAGCATATATATGTTACTCGAAATACTTTAACGGGCACCGTGTCTTAGTGCTTAATTAATTTTCCTGTGTTTGATGTTTGATGTGGCCGTCGCTCATGTATCATGAATAGGAAGGTCTCTATGTCTCCCCCGCCTGGGCTGTCATGACCTGATCTTGGGTTTCGAGTGGTGGGTGGGGGGTAGGGGGGTCCACGGTGGGACAAATAGCTCGATTTATGGAATATGTAGCTTCCAGATGCAGGTGTTCGAGCAGTGGTATGTTCTTATCAACACGGCTGGAAAGGGGAGGCCACTCTGGCCAGGTGTGTGTGTGTGTGTGTGTGTGTTTCAATATGCCTGTACATCTGAACATGTCAGTCAAGCTTGCTCTTCAAAATATACATGCCTGCCTTGGGGCTAAAAGACCAAACCAGGCTGGCTAATTGTAAATTTAAAATCATGCAGGCATGGAAAGATAAATCTACCCCCCTGAGAGCCATCAGCAGCTCCGGGCTCAGCCATGATTCCACTCAGAGAGCTCGCTGGCCACATTTTTGTCGTGTCCTTAAATTTTCAGCAGGTCAAAAAAAATGGTTTCGGTGCAAAAGCCTAAAATGAGAAAAATGACCCTCGAGTGAAAGTTTTAACTCCCCCCCCCCCCCGCCCCGCACAAAGAAATGCAAAAATGGCTCTTGAAAGAGAAAACAAATCTAAAGATTCATAAATACTACGTTTCAGCTCTGTTTTCAGTGATCTCATTACCTTTGCTAGTGGAATTAACCTAAATTGCTGAGGTAATGGGCGAAGCTGGCAGAGGCTTGAGTGATTTTTGGCTCCCCATGAAGAGAGGGAGAGAGGCCCCTGAAGAAGCCCCCCCCCCCACCCCCCAGCGGGGCACGGATCCAGGCAAGGTGCCGACTGCATCTGTGCCTTTGTTATTGATAGCTCTGTCATCCCCACTGATATTGGAGCGGTAATGACAGGCCCCGATTAGGCTGCTCCTGCACCATTAACTCTGTTTCTGATCCTTTTAACGGAGCCCAGAGGACAAGCAGCCGGAACACAAAGG